TTTCCAAACTTATTAAACTAAACTTAAATGATGTCAGTCTAATTTTGATTGTCAACTTTGATTAGAAGAACACAAAAAGAAAAAAAGAAACACTAATTTTTTCACTTGCATTCCCTTGCAACTTAATACACAATTAAATTCTGCCACTTGTCCCTAGGCTAAGTTGATATTCAATTTATATAAAAATTAATAATAAATAAATAAATAAATATACGAACACATTTAGCAGAGTTACTTATTTACAAAAAAGAAATGCTCTTTTAAAAAAAAATAATGATTTTTTTCTTTTTAATCCTATAAGGAACCCAATGAAGTTAAGGTGACAAAGAATAATTTTTTCCCTTGTAAATTTCCTCTCTTATATTTGAATTTATAAAATAACAAGAAGAGTTTACAAGGAAAAAAATTGTCTATTATTGTAAAATCAAAAATCATATATAAAGAAATAATTCGATGGGGAAAAAAGGAATATAATTCATTTGCTCATACATATTAAGTAATCATAATTTTTTTTATTTTTTACAATAATAATGATGAAGAAAGTAAGAGGAAAAAGGGTAGTATTGTCATTACGAGAAGAAGTCCATTGTTGTCAGCTACGAAGTCAAAGACATTCTTAATTGCGTGCAACACTCCGCATCAAACGCTCACCTAGATAATTTTTTATATTTAGTGTTGGTTTGTTTTATAGTAAAATATTTTTTAAAAATTATTTTTAAAATTTATAATTATTTAGAAAATAAAAAATTAATTTTAAATATAAAATATTTTATGAGTAAAGAGGATTAATTATGAAAAATATCTTACTCTTTTAAAAGGTATAAGATATTTTTCATAAAACAACACAAATATTATTATATTAAATTCATGAATATAAATTTAATGAATATTAATATTTAATTTAAAATATTAAAAATTAAAAATATTAAAATTTATTTTTAAAAAAATTAATTTAAATTATTAATATTTAAATTATATAATATTTTTAAAATTAAAAAATAATTTTTAATAAAATCATTCAATACAATTAAATTTTTTATTTATAAATGAAATAAATTTTATTAATAATTATAATAAAAAATATTACAACTAATAACAAGGCTAATCTCGTCATTTCAGCTTATTAACTCAACGCCGACACCACCGCCCTTTAACTCCAATCCAAAAGGATCGTTTAAAATGAGCAAAGCGCCTTTGACGTCCGTGAGAACGACGTAACGCCAGTCTCGATATTCCCCACCTCTTCATACGCCACGTGTCTCGCGCGAGATCTACAAGATCTTGAGAGATGTTATGGAGACACTCAAGCTCCCGGCTTTTGATTTTGTCCAGCTCAGCAAGCAAACGGGCCCCAAATTCTTAACCACGTGGAAATATCCACATATGACGTGGTATTTCTTCTACGTTCCACACCTCCATTTTATCCACGTCAGCAACTTTGGACTCATCTTAATATCTTCTCCGCTCTTCCGTCTCCTAAACAAGAGGTCGGCAATATCTGTCCTTTCCGAGTCGCTCTGTTTCTCAGGCAGTCAATTTAAAAAATAAAAATAAAAAATAAAAATTTAATCTGCAATAAATTGTGGAAAAATTTTGTCAATAATTTAAATTTCTTGTTTAAATGAAAAAGTTAAGCGTTGAAATTAATTTTTGCTTAATTTTTGCGCAATGTTATTTTTAAATTCAAATCGGTTTTAGATCGAGCTCAGTCATGGTGTTTAATGAAGCTTTGGCGAGGATTATCTTCATCTCTAGCACCTGTAAGTTCTTTACTTTCAGTTGAAGTTTGAATAATTTTCTTTTATTGAATTCCATTACTTTTTTCCGTAGATTTCATTTATTTATTTATTTTTTTGAAGAGATGAAGAAATGATGCTGTAGAATATTCAAAAAATTTCAATTTATTAGTTTAGTTATAGTTTTTTTAGATCTTTTGATTAAGTTTTGGTTAGTACTAAAAAAGCTTTGTTTAATATTAGGAGCAGATTTTAGGTGCTTGACATTAGGGTTTTGGCCTAGAAGTCTTTAAAATTTAATTTAATTTTGATAATTTGAAATTAACTAACGTAAATGTTTATGTATAAAGTTATGCTTGTTTCGTAGCACCGTGAATTTGTTCCCTGAATTGAGGAAAATATCAGGGAGAGTTACTTGTTTGATTGAACTTAATTATTCTATTTTTGTGGATTATTTTGATAGGATGCTCTGTTTTCTTCTACAGGGTGAAAGCAGCCTAGGGAGTATGGAGTTGGTTACTGAAGATTGAAAGGAGTTATATTTGTTTGTGGTGATTTATTTATCTTTAAGTTATGGATCTCCTTAGTGATTTGGTCTTGCTGTAGGTTGAACCGTACGTTTCTTGCTGAGGTTTGGGTTCTTGAAGACGAAGCTATGTACTATTTGTTTTGTGGATTGAAGAAGGATTTTCACTGTTTCAATATTGGACCATCCTTATTGTTGTCAGTCTTTTCTAATTTGATTTACAGGGAAGTGTCTAGATGAAAGTTGATAGCGATGGCAACAAAGGGTTACAAGAACTAAATCATCATCTATGTGATGGTAACAATAGATCTACAAATGGAGTTGTGACTGAGGAACATGTGACGCGAGAAGGAGATGAGCTGAAAGTTAATGAGATTGCACAAAATGTAAATGATGGTTACGTTGGGGCTGTTCAGGCCCCTGCTGTGCTGCAAATACCACAGCAACAGCCTCAAAATGCAATGGTTTGTTGGGAGAGGTTTCTGCATCTCAGATCACTTAAGGTTCTGCTTGTAGAAAATGATGATTCTACTCGCCATGTTGTCACTGCACTTCTGCGCAATTGCAGTTATGAAGGTTAGTGACTAGCCCTTCTAGGATTGTAACACAGAACAATTTTGCTCTCTGCTCCTCTTTTTGGCTGAAGAAATGCAAATTGTAAATTTGTGCCTCAGGATTTATTAACTTGGAATGAAATTGTCAAGGCTTGGAGGTTATTCTCTAAGATATTATAAATTTAGCGTACTTCCCACCTTCCAATAGATTATGCCACACAGAAGGGGAGCTGCTTTCTCAGCTAGATCAATTTGATTAATTAACCTCACTAATTACAAGACTTGAAAATGTTTGCGATTTATTTTGCCTGTTGAGAACCCAATTAAGCTAAGCCTGTTCCAGCTTTCAATAGCACTTGCAGCCAGAATCTTCTTATTATTTTTCGTATCTTGTCTATTTATTGCATCAATAAACTTGATACTTGGTTACATTTTGATGATAAAATTCTATGAAACCTATTTATCTCTTATTCAATTTACTCCTGGGAGGGGCAAGCTCTTCTCTACTGGAATTCCCGACTTATCAATTATCCAATGAACTATAAGGCTCATGTAGCCTATATTAACTGTAACACTCGCTTCATATTCCCAGTTATTGACGCTGCAAATGGACTGCAAGCATGGAAGATACTAGAAGATTTGACCAATCATATTGATCTTGTATTGACTGAGGTGGTTATGCCTTGCTTATCTGGCATTGGTCTTTTGAGCAAGATTATGAGCCATAAAACACGAAAAAATGTTCCTGTAATCAGTAAGTTCTCCACTCTCTTCTGCATTTTTGTTGATTGTTCTAGCACTTTTAATTCTTGTTTTCACTGGAGATCTTTTGAGTAGATAACTTTAACTACAAGTTTTGATGAGATCTGTGTGCAGTGATGTCTTCTCATGATTCAATGGGTCTAGTCTTTAAGTGTTTGTCAAAAGGTGCTGTTGACTTTTTGGTGAAGCCTATTCGAAAGAATGAGCTTAAGAACCTTTGGCAGCATGTTTGGAGGAGATGCCATAGTGTGAGTTGTTAACTTCCTACTTCAGATTTAGATTCCCTATGATAAGTAGAGATTGGGAACATATGTACTGGCAAACTTTTATTGTTATTTTCTGCTCATTTTTAAGAAAATAGATAAAACATTTGAAACTAAAAGCATACACCTCTAGTTTATTTTCAAATTGTATGAAGAAAATAACGTTATAAGACTGTTATCTATTAGGAGAACGACTTATACAACTTTGTTATCATGGTATTGTACTTCATCTTTACATTGCAAAAAAAAAAAAAAAGCTTACACTTTTTGTTTTCATAGTTTTCTTTGCCTAATGATTGATTTCTGCTCCCTCAGTCTAGTGGTAGTGGAAGTGAGAGTGGAACACAAACTCAAAAATCTGTGAAATCGAAAAGTGCTGAGAAGTCTGACAACAACACTGGCAGCAATGAGGAGGATGATAATGAGAGCATCGGTTTAAAT